GCCCAGCTGTCAGTCAGTCAGTGAGTGCGGCAGGCGGGCACAGGCAGCGCCTAGTCGCGGCCAGGCAGCAACAGTTGGCTTGGGCCTAGTACCAAGCACCGCCAGGTGTTGCATGCAGCCTTGGCGTGTGTGCAACATTTATTTGCGGCCCGAGGCGCTCTTTTGGCCAAGAAGGTGTTGTAATGTGCTAAAAACTCGAGCTGCAGCTCCGACTCGTCGCTTGGCCCATGCGGCGTGCACTCGACTGACGATGAATGATGGATTTGCATCGCTCGATGGATGCGTGTAAACAAATAATCTAGCTACGCCTGGGAGCCGGGACCTGAGAGCTGGGACATTCAAGCTGGAAGCTGCTAGATGCCACATGGTAGCTGGGTCCAGGGCCCAGTTCAAACGAAGCTACCGAAAACATTGTGAAGCACTGGACCACACACACGCACCGAGTGGCAAAAACGAAACAAGAGTGCTTAGATTTGTAAGAAACGACGTTCAGATACCCTGTAATGGACAATATCTTCTGACAAGGCAGAAATTGGAGCATGTGAAACGGCTCTAAGCGAATATGCTGGATGTCATGGATGTGATATACGAAAATAATATATTAATTTCAATAAAATCTTATTTATTTTTTTATTTTTGCCAAAAATCTGGGCTTACTCCAAATTGGAATACAGTTAACGATTTTTCACTTGCTCCCTATGTATTTTTTTTTTTTTGATAATGCATGTCCAAGCAAATTTCGTTAATTCTGTAGAAATATTAAGCTAACTTTTCATTGAAAGTAAGAAATTTATTTTATTATTTTATGCTTTGTTCAAAATTTAACCCATAAATAAATCTAATATTTTTAAGTCTTCAAATCAAACTTTCTGGCTCTATCGTTTCAAGTCGCTGAGTTCGGAAACTTGGCCAAGCGATCGCAGTCTGACTCATAGCTTAAGAAACGCTTGCAGCTTTATAATTTTTGGCTACAGGGTATACAGAGAAAAGGCAACAACAGAGAAAAAAAAGAAAATATAAAAACTCGGCCAGGCTGTTGTGGCATCCTACATCGCCGTATTGATTATTGTGATCTGCCGTGTGCTTCGGCTCTGTGGGTAATTATGCAGGCAAGCTGGAGCTTAGAAAGAGACAGATAGAGAGAGAGAGAGAGAGAGAGAGAGAGAGAGGGAGACAGAGAGATAGAGGAAGAGAGAGGGCTGGGCGAGGGAGAGAGAGAGCCGCGCATAGGGGGGCGCGGCTGTCATTTATTTTAAACGATTCTTTTACACATGTCGGCCGCTGTCGCCGCTGCAGCCACCAGTCAGCAGTCGCTGCCAACGCTGCCACCGCTGCCGCTCCAGACGGTGACGTTGGCATGCCAATCATTTCGCTTTGATGAAGTGCGAGTGTGAGGCAAAAATGTTGTACCAATAACTCGGATGCAACCAAAAAGAGAAGCAGCAGCACTAGCGGCAGCAGGAGAAGGAGTAACAGGAGCAGCAGCAGGCGCTAAAGATGAAGGAGTCGAAGCAGTAGAGGCAGGAGCAGAGGATGAAGCTGGAGCAGCAGCAGGATATGCAGGACGTGAATTAGAAAAAGAATTAGAAAAGAGAGAAAATGAAACAGGCGCTGAAGATGAAGCAGGATTTGAAGGAAGTGAATTGGAAGAAAGAAGTTGGAGCAGTCGAGTCTGAAGCAGGCACTGAAGATGAAGCTGGAGCAGCAGCAGGATATGCAGGTAATAAATTGGAGGAAAGCAGACGAGGCAGTAGAAATAAGATCAGACGCTGAAGATGCTCAGAGGATCGAACTTGGAGTTGGTTATCGCTTGAATACATTCGCAATACAATTTAATCAATTGCAATTGCCAGGTAAATGCGATTATGTATATTTGAATACTATTAGCTACGAATCATTTTTCATTCACTTATTCATCCGTGACTCTTTGGTTAATCCCACACGCATTGAGTGCCACCCAATCGAATAGCCATCAATTTTTACAATATTCCCATCGTTTAACTGAGCAGACGCAAAAAAAAAGTAAATCCTCATACACACACACACACACACACACACACTCGCACACTCACTCACTCATTCAGTCAGTCAGTCAGGCACTCGTTCCACCTTTTTGTCAATAATTAATTTGTTGAAAAATGCAACGCAACGCCGCTTGGGCCACCACCAGAGCCAAAGTCGAGGCTGACAGGCGGAGCAGCGCCTTGCATTATGCATGAGCCTACCGCTGGCCAGGCCAGCCCTGGCCTGGCGCTGGGACCCTAGCGCTGGGACCTGGGACAGTTGGGCACTGCCTATCAGTTCTGCGTGGCCCTTGAGTTATGCGCTTTAGGGGCGCCTTCAAGGTTGCCCCCGTTCGTCCGCTTCATCAATGTTGGCCCTGTCGTCAACTGTGGATGCTGATGCTGTTGCTGCTGCTGCTGCTGGTTTGTTCCGTGTCTGGTTGCCTCTGATTAAGTCACTTACATTTTCGCTGCTTTTCTAACTAATTTGCTGTTAATTTGCCGCTACGAGCTGCAGCCAGTCCCCAAAAAAGTTCATTTCCTGCCCGCCGCAGCGCATACGCAACAGCTTTTTGGCGTTGTCAGAATTCCGGGAAAACCCCACAGCGGCAACAGGCAAAAGTAAATTGCACAGCCAGCTTGGCCCGTCAGACAGGCAGACTCGCGTCTAAGTCAACGTCAGCGTTCTGTAAGAACGTTAATACAAAATTACATAAAATATTTATTATAATACAAGGAAATATGCGACTTATGAATATACGCAATTAAGTTGTAAGAATTTGCACTCCAATCAAAAGCCAGCATATAAATACTCTCACAATAATATTTATTAACTTGAACAGTATTAAGGTCAATTCTTGATTGTCATTTTTGGAAAATAATGTAAATATTCATTATTAATATTGAATTCTGTATTGGAATAATCTTTGTCCTAAGCATACCAAAGTCTATTAGGTAGATATTCCCAATAAATATATTAAAATTAGTATGACTTAAACATATTTCAAGTTCGTGAGCTTGAATCAAGACTGGGATTGTATTAAACATATTGAACTCAAATTAAGGCCATATTAATCTCATTTCAAGGTGAAAATGCGAAAAATTTAAGTAAATTGAGGGTATTTTGGTCTTATTTTGAGAGTCATTAAATCCTAATTCAATACTATTCCGTTCTTAAATTCATCTTTAGATTTTTTTGTTTTAAAAAAGTCATAATTTAAATAAGAGTTTTATACTTCAATTAAGGTCTTACCGGTCTTATCGTCCTTTTATGATCGGCTATACTTGATTCAAGTACGAAATTCTTGATTTTTTCCCTTTGTATACTAGAACCTAAATACTTTTATTTTTTGTATAAATAAATCGGGTATATTTCCAATCTTCACTATGATATACACATTCCATTAAACAATTGCCACATTCAATACTTTCAGTTAATTTAACATTGTGCATTTATTTTTAATGAATCGCCTTTTGTTCTAGAGTTTGGGTTCATATTCTCAGAACTTGTCAGTTTTTGATTGTGAAGTGTCTTTATTTGGTTTGTTATTTACAAATTTCGTAATTTCTTAGTTCTATTTTGCCATCTTAGAAACTTTCAATACGATTAATATTATAATATTCACATTATTTTAATTTTCTTTTGTGTCGAATTCCCAGAAGAGTCAACAGCTAATTTGCTTAAATTAATAAGTTTTGCAAACCCTAAAAAAAACCCCATTCTATGCTTAGACTTCTTTTAATACTTTTGTTACAAGTTATGCTAAAAATAACCTTGTGCCAATCCAAACAATGTCTAATATTTCTATTGGAGGGCGGCTCGAACTGAATGAAACGGTCACACTACACTGTAATTGTCCCCAGTGCTTTTATGTAAAAGAGCTGCAATAAACTGAAATCCGAAAAAACACATGTACTTAAATCGTAACCATCAGCAAAAAAACACAAACCGCGGGCCCTGTGAAAATTGCACAATGTTTGAAACATGTTCGTCGGCGGTTGCTTGGCGAGAGGGGTGTGGCATGGGGCGGGTGCTAGATGAAACCGAGACAGCGACATGGACACGGACGTCGAAGGCGACTCAAGCTGTGAGTGCACTGAGACCGGAGTCCAGAGGCCGTGTCTAGCAACAGGCGTGGAGCCGGCAGCGGCACAGCGGCTGCACTCGGTATCTGAGCCAGCATCAGAATCAAATGTTTGTCTTCCGTGTTTTTTTTCTTGGTTGCCTCTCGGATTACATATGCCGTGAAGCGGGAGCAGTTGCGGCTGAGTGGCGCTCGGTATTTTTTTGTTTTGTTTTTAATATATTTTTTTATGTATATTTTGCATTGAAAGTCACGTGCCGTGCATAAAACAAACGCATTTAATGTTTCACTTGTTGTTGCTGCTTTCAATGAAAATGAAATTCAAAAATCGAAAATGTTGGCGTGACAAGCCAGCAGCAAGAGGGTAGGCAAAGGGCGTGCTGTGTGGGGTTGCAGGGGGAAAAGGCAAAGAATGAGTCGAGGCTGGCAGCCTCATCAATGGGGCAGCCCCGAAGCAGGCACATTAATTAAGGCAAAGAAAAAAAGCATAAGAAGCTATATATAAACACATACACACACACCACACTCTCACTCACATACAAATACGTACGTACTTACGTACGTGCACGCCTGTGTGCCTGCTGGCAGCGCAGCTACCACTTCGGCTAACATCTTCGTACTTTGGGACGGCATCTTCGTCAATGCTGTGCGCTGCTGCCAGCTGCGACGCTGCTGCTGACGGTGCAGCCAGCGCCAGTTGTGCTCGGGTTTTCGTTTGCTTTGCGCACGACTCTCATTTTGTGTTTGCTCGTCAAGGCAGACGGAAGCAGCAGCTTTAGCTTCCGAATTACGCGCGTGCCTGTGTTTTCAACTGCGCCAGTGTGCGTGCGTGTGTGTGTGCGTAGCAAAAGCAATACCGTGTGCAAATACAAATACCGCTAGCTAACGGTACAAACAAAACACAGTGAAAGACAAACGATGCGCGCTCAAAAAATTGCCAACACCAAAGTGTAGTAAAGTGAGTGTACGTGTGTGTGTGTGTGTGCGAGTGTTATAGGTCTGTGTGTGCGTGTGTGTGCAAGTTTATGGGAGGCGTGTGCCGTTAATTGCTCAGCACGGCGACAACAGGTGGCAACCCCTGCCTGTTGTGCCAGCCCCTATCCCTTTATGATAGCGTTGCCCGATTGCTGCGGCGCACGCAAATTCGCAGAACTTTAATTGCCCGCAAAAAAATAACACAAATCAAAAAAAAGGAAATACAAAAAATTAAATAGAAAGCGCTTGTGTAGGGGGCGTGTGGCCCGCAATTAGCAAATCTAACAGTTCCAAGAATCGATTCACTGCAGCCCAAAATTAATTGGCTGCAAAAGCAAAGAGAAAAGGAAACCCAACACACACAAACTCACTTAAAAAGCCGCCGCACTGCCGCTGCCAAAAATAATTTCTTTTTGCCGATATTCCAGTCCGCCTGAAGAAGTTGTCACAGGCGAAGGCAGCAGCAGCGGCGACGGCGGCGACGTGTGTCAAAGGTTTGACAGGCCTTAATTGTCGCAAGAAGAAGCATCCGCAGCAGCAGGGACTGGGGTTGTGGGGATGGCAGGCTCTGATGTGGGGTCGCAAATCTGCCGAAGTGGCCAAGCAGAAGAGTTAAGGCATCTGGATAAAAAACAATTGCCAGGGGTTAAGCTGAGTCAAATTAAATGATTTATAGCTAGAAACGGAGTTGTTTAGGGGTAATCCTAGATTAAAGCTAGATTTCAAATTTAAACAGATCGGATTATATGAGGCAGCAATGTGAAAAAAAAACACATAAAAGGGCATTAATGTTATTATTATATTTTAGATTAAATTTGTATTTTTTGTGATATCTGCTGTAAATGGGGTTTATACTTCTTGTCAGAGGTAATGCGCTTTAATAATGAAATAAATGGGCATTTCTTTTGCGCTATTTTTTCCCAGAGAAAAAACTTTTTTCACTTTCGTCCAGTTGTGACTTCGCATAACACTTCCTCAAGTTTAAAATAGGAATTTTTGTAAATTTAAATTAAGGATTACCCAGAGAAAACTTGAAGCTCACATAGAAACTTTTAATATACGCTTAGACATATGTTTATTTATACATGCAAACATGTAAAGGTAATTAAATCTTCAGTTGCTCGGCTGGTAATCTGACGCAGGTGAGAAGCAGGTGTTTCCCAAGCAATTACCAACATATATGATATGATATAATATAAAGATGCAGCTGTCATCAAATTATCACAATGATAGAGCATACCTCTAGATATTTTTAACTGCAAAAGTTAGTTTTTCCTATAGCTCAGTGAAATGGCAAGAAAAATAGAGGAATTAAATATTACATATTTTTTGGATGGGAGTAAATAATGAAGTTTAATGTTAAAATGTACAATACTGTACAATGTACAATAATAAAATATATGTTTTTTTCACTCTACGAGGCTTAAAGAACAAGCACACACACACACACACTCACAGCCCAGAACTCAGCTGGGCTCAAACCAAAACTGAGCTCAAAAACTCAGTTAAATCTAAAATTATCAAACAAATCCAATTCAAGGCATTTGCTAGAGTAAACGGACAATAAACTTAAAAGCTAAATTAACAAATAACAAGGAGAAAATAAAATGGCAGGACTTTTGATCCTGCGGCTGCTGCTGCTCTTTCTGCTGCAGTGCCTCACGCACTTGCAGGCAGAGATTGCGCACACGCCTTTGGCCAGCAATCGGATCAGACTGGAGCCGGAGCCGGAGCCGGAGCCGGACTCAGAGGAGACGCATGTGCTGCCCGCCAGCTGCCCGCAGCGAATGGCATACGAGAAAATGCTGAACAGCATCGATGATGTCGAGGATCTGTATGTGGATGTGCCCGTGCACATTGCACTCGAGCAGCGCCAGAAGAAGCGGTAAGTCAACAATCTGTCTAAGCCCTGTCCAAATCCGATTTCCAATCCCCAAGTATTCACGTAATTTGAGTAATGCGCCTAAGTGCGCTGGCGACGCCGCCTGTCACACAAATCAAATTATGTCCAAACAATAACAAAATGCGGCAGCGGCAGGACGAAGATGCCATAAGCGTCGGGGCAGGGCAAACGCGGTGCGAGGGCAGAGGAGGGCTAGCAAAAAGAAACCAACAAAAATAATTTATAACCACGACGTGTGGCTGGCCAAACAAAAACCAGCGCCAGATTTTTACAGTTGCCATAAATATGAGCAGTGTGTGTGTGGTGTGTGTGTGTGGTGTGTGTGTGTGGTGTGTGTGTGTGTAGTGCTTCTTCATCTGCTTATGCCTGTTCGCCTAAGTAGTGTGCGTGCTCTGAGTGTGAGTGTTTGTGTTTTTGCTAGGCCCACAGCTGCGGCCGCGTTGCACGTGGCGTATGAGCAACTTTTTTCATGTTTTCTTTTCGGTTTTTTGTTTGTTTCTGTATTTATTTACTTTTTTTTGTGTGCTCGTTTGGGCCTGGGTCAAGAAAAGCTGTCACGTTTTCGCTTAGCGCGCGCGGCTGGCAGGCATTTTGTCTTCTCGATTTGTATACTCTTGCCGTGACGTTGGGCGTATTAGCATAATCAGGCAGTTTGTACGCATCTTGAAGACAAATCGGAGCGCTCAAGTGTCATTTTGCCTATTTTTGTTTGGCTTGGAAAAAAAGCATCTTTGGAAGGATAACATTATGATGGTCGTGCATTGTTTGCTTTATTTTGATGCCATAATTTAAAAATCTGTTGAACGAATGTTCAAGAAAAAGAAAAACTAATTTCGAATTTAACTATATAGAGGTCTTATATAAGCACAGCTATTGCAAATTTCTCTTGCATATATAATCATTGGAAATTCATGTCTCACGATCACAAAATGAACTATAGTTTTATTAATTATCAATAAATAAAATAAATATAAAGTTATCATTAAATTAATTGAATTTATGTGTTAATAGCAAATCGCAAAAATGTTTGATGCTTTCCTTTGTTTGTTTCCTTTGAGAAATATCAGATATTGGATGTTTTAATTTATTCGTTATACCTAGAATCGGTCAGCATTTTTTTACATTATCTTTTGACAAGAGGCATAATCATTAATTCTTCTTTATTTTTTGGTGTAATAAGAAATTCCCAACTTTGTAAACATTTTATATTAATCACGTTTTTGAAATATTGTATATCTGTAACCAAAGATACAAAATTGGTTCATAATACAAAAGGTACCTTATATCTTATATCTCATCGTTTTATAAATAAGTGAAAGTAATTTCTTGCCCAAGGGTTTCTTTCCGTTCCCCAAATGCTATTGAAAGTGATGAGAAAACTTTTCAAGAACGACTCTTGGTATATTCAATCTCCGATTTCCAAGGTTATATTTCTTGAAATCCACTTTTTTCTAGTTGCCAGGCAAAATTTTACTACTAGGTTAGAGCTAAGAATGTAAAGCATTTTGATGGGCTTCCGCCAAAGATATGCTTGTTTATTAGTTATTAACCATAACGTTCACAAATGCTTCTAAAAATACACTCGAGCAGTTGTGAGTTATTTAAAGATCCCAGTGAAGCGAGCAACTGTAACAAAATGCATATCAAATTCGATATGCCGTGCGCCGAGTTTTCTTGTTCAAATTATGTTTTACTTATTTGTTTTTTTTTTCCCAAACATTTCTGTCTTTTATTTCGCCAAAGAACGTGCGAACCTTTTAAGTTATTTCTCTTGCCAGTTTTTTCTTTAGTTTTTTTGTAATATTTGTTGGAATGGTGCTTGGCTCTTGGCGCTTGTGGAGGCTGCTCTCATATAACTTTGATCATTTCTGGCATAGAATGTCAAACATTCAAATTAATGTTGTGCTCGTTGTCGTTGCTCTATGTGAGCTTACTTTTGGTTTTATTGTCGCGCGACCAGCGGCCACTGTCCCCTGGCCACTGGCCACAGTGAAGTGCTCCGATTGCGGTGCACCAAGTGCTGGCTCCAGTGTCGCCTCCGCGGTGTACGTGATGGCCGTCTCGTGTTGCCGCCCGAAGCGTGTGAAAAGGAGCGAATTGTGTGCGCTGAATTTATGGTGCTTGCAGTCATTAAGAGTTTTGCTAGAATTAAGCGATCTGCATTCGGCAGTCTCTATAAGGATGGGACGGGTCAGGATCTGGCTCCTGTGCAAGGCGCAATCAAGCCACAAGTCCAGTTGCTTGTTAATATTTTTGCGCAAACAAATCATAAATATTAATTTAACGACTTAATTCGACGGCCCCTACCCCACTCCGCAAACACACACAGACACACACACACACACACACACACAGACACTGCTCGCTGCGACTCCAAAACTCGAACTGGAACTGGGACTGGGCCACGCGGACTCGCCTCGCTCTAGTGACCACCTGTAGCACATACGCATATTGCCAATGGCCCGAAAATCAAAACAAAACTACAAAACAACAAATTGTTGTTAATGTGCTGCTGTTGTTGTTGTTGCATTTTTATGTGCGCCGCAGGCTCAAGCGTTGTAAACAACTTTTATAGCCAACCCCTCCCCAGCTACGGCAGCAGCCCCTTGCACAGTTTATGGCGTGAAACTATTTATTTGTAAGCGTATCAAAGAAGCTACAATAAAACAGCAACAACAACAACAACAACAACAAGTGACTAGTAAAAATTGTTTTGACCATAAAAATGCGCTGCATAATTTTTGCCTGAAACTGTGCAGACCTTCAGCGGGCAGCGTTGACGACTTTTTCGTCTTGCCTCAAATAAACGTATAGTTTGCGTATTTTTAGATCAAGACATGTCGCTGCATCTGTGGCTGCATGTGCAACTGCAACTGCAACTGCCGCTGCAACTGCAGCTGCAGCTGCGTCACAGTCACAGACACTTGGGCGTCGCAGCCGGCGAGACAGCGAGCTAGCCAGTCGCTTAGTCAGCCCATCAGACGCTGCTCAAACGCCATAGTTCAATAGTCTAAAATTTCACCAAAAAGCAAATCAACACACACTCGCACACACACTCACACACACGCAGTCACTAAGTGCGCGTTGTGCCCATTCTGTGAGTGCTCTGTGAGTAATCAAGTAAATGTGAATGTGAATGCGTATGTTTATTCAAAGTTCGGACGCTGTGCATAGTTTGAATCATTCACACGCAGCCGAAACGTGACAACTGTTGCTGACAGCAAGTGCTAAGAATAATTAACATAATTTAAATTCTTATAGTTTCATAATTTCTCTATCTTATACATTTGAAATACTTTTGATCTATACAGAATCTAAGTGTTTACCCAAATCTTGTGATTGCAGCTCTTGTGGTTTCCGAGATCAATGAGTTCATAAGACGAATATAGCAGGCATACACAAAAAGTACTGTGTATTATAGACAATAATTAATTTTGGGTTTTCAGAAGGGATCATTTGTCGGTTAGATAAATCTTTTCAGCTAACAGTAGGACGGGCTCTTCACAAATAATTCACTCGCAATGTGGGAGGTTTGCTGCAAAATGTGTTAAATAATTTGCTGTTTTATTTCTTTTCGTTTTTAACTCATGCCTTCTGCATTATAAGGCATGCTCCGCTCTTTTCACATAACTCATTAACTCTGTACACATTTCGGAGTTCAGTTTTCCCTCACATTTAGCTTTAAAAAATTTTTTTAAAATTTCAACTGGATTGCCGGAAAATGAGTGGAAAACTAACTGTGCTTGCAGAAAAATCAGCTTTAATTATCTCAGAGCTTTTTAGAAATGTTCTGCATGATAAGATAAGCTCTGTTCTTTTCAGATTATTCAATACCTTTGTAGAAAATTTCGATCTTAGATTCTCCTTCATATTTTGCATTACAATTATTTTGTTAAATTTCACCATGACTGCCGGAAAAAGTGTGAAATAAAATCTGCTTTTAATTTAATCTCAGATCTTATTAGAAATTTATGCGCTTGTAATACACAAACAGTTTTTTTTATGTATTCTGTAATATTGAAAGACTACAAATAGTGTTGGAAAATGTATTAGGCAGATAATTAGGAGTCTTTTATTTAGTTTAGTATATAAATTGAAAGGAATTTAAAGAAATGTGGTTAAATACAATATATGGAAACCTTTTCAAAGCTAACCCAATTCAATAATAGAAATAATCTTTTCCCCAAAAAAAAACTGCAAACAAAGACTTTTCCTGCCCCAAGTTATACGCTGATTACTGCTTGATGTTGCGTAAAGCTATTTAATTTATTTTTGGTCCGTCTGTGCGGGATTTCTAATCTGTTTGAGTTCGATTTTAAAATCGTTACTTTTTGGACAAAAAACATTGAAGTGCCAAAGTTGTAAGCGCAAAGTTTTGGAAGCTATTTTTTTTTTTTTGTATTTTTTATTTGCAATATTTTACAAACTTTATTTAGATACTTAGTTTCGCAGCGCTAAGAGTGGGTAAATATGCTACTTATAACAATATTATCAGCGACAGTTGACGCTGGGGAGATTTTCTCTGCCAGAACTTCAAATCTTTAGCGTAGCTGTGCAGGAAAAGCAGTTCATTCAAAGCTGATTGTCAATTTGTGCAAGGCAGCAGAGTTCTTAAAGCAGGGAGCAGGGTGCAGACCGGAGACCAACAGACCAACTGACTGCCTGTGTGCCTGCCTGCCTGACTGTCTGCTTGTTTTTCATGCCGTCGCTTTTGATAGTTGCAAAAATAGAATTTTGTCGCTGATTTTAAGTATTTCGCGTGAAAACTACAACTACCAGACGAGACCAGACAGCAGCCAAGGAAGACAACAACAAGACAGCAAAGACAACGACGACCCCAAGAGGCACAGCCACATTGACGTCGTCGTCGTCGTCGTCGGCGTCGTCTTCGTCGTCTTCAATTGCAAATTTATGTGAATTGAGTCAATTTTTATGGTTTAGCTAGTTGGTTTGTTTGTCTGGCTGTGGCGGCTACTTACAGGACTTTGCGTCGCTTAACTGGAGTAAAACGCACCACCGGAGCCACCGCCCGGCGCACTTGCTGCCGCTCCCTGTGCCACTTGCCGCTACCCCGCCGCCGTACCCGTTCCCGCCGGCGTCGACGCTGCCTGCGTCTATGGCTGCGATAGCCGCAGATCAGCTCGCCCAGAAATGTCAGCGAGGCGCTGCATATGCCCACAATTAGTATGCCAAATGGTCCCTTCAGGTGCTCCGTGGTCAGCACAATGACGGTGGCTGCGAACTCCGGTCGCATCTTGGCAATGCGATTCAAGTATGTGTTATTATAGCGAAAATCCGAGTCGATCTTCTGTATGATGCCCACATCGCGCATATAGCGTATTATCATGTTCATCTCGTAAAGGAATGGAAAGCCCGCCTTCATAATTAGCTGCATGGGGCTTGTGAAGACATTCTGAGGAAAGGCGTATATGTCATCCGCATGGAGATTCTGCAGTATATACATGCGGCTGCTCAGTATGCAGCGCATGCCCAGCTCCACCTCCTTCAGATTCTCCGTACGTGGCCTGAACGCTTTCGTGGAATTGTAGGCCTTGAATATCCACAGATCATCCTCATTCTCAAACCAATCGCGACACTCCTCCTCGCCGCCAAAGGGTATGCCCGCCGCGACCACTTCGTGCAGCTCGTCCAGCTGATGCAAATAGCCCGGATCCTGGAATGTGGCTATCATCTTGGATGTGTATACAGCCACCACATTGATGCCGTACAGCGTCAGCATCATGAAGAATATGCGCGTCGTCTCGCAAATGGGTCGCTCCTGTACAGCGACGCATATGGACACCGCCAGCGCGTTGATCCCAGTCAGGCTGAGCTGTTGGTAATACTGTGGCTCCGGCAGCAGCGTGACCAGCGCGTACCAGAAGAGCCAGCTCAGCACGAGCGTCAGCAGGAAACACATCCAGGTGAATGGCTCGAAAATGCCCACCATTGCCTGCCATGCCGGACGACGATCTGCCAGCTTTGTGTACCAGGTGTGCGCGTCCTGCAGGTAGCAATCGGATCCCCAGAATATGCCCTCAACCTCATTGTCCGGATAGAAGCCGCCCATGATAAAGTCACACTCGCCATTCTCCAATTTGCCCAGCAGACCGTTCCATTTACCATTTTCATCCAATTCGCCTCGCGTGTCTCGAGAGCAGGTTTGATTTATCTGTGAATAGAGGATGCTAATTGGTGATTGCTGAGGTAATTGCTAATTGCTAATTGGTAATTGCTGAGATTTTCTTAGATCTTTTGCAAACATATAAATTTATATTTAAGTTAACTTCATCTATTTCCCTAGACTCTCATTATATTTTTAATACTCCATTAAGATTTCGGATTGCAAAGTTTGTTTACAAAAACTCCTCAAATCTATATGGATAAGAATATTGATAAGAAAAGCTAACAAACCAAAATTGAGTGTTGATTATCTTTTAGATCTTAATCTATAGACTCCCATGCTCTACCAACCCATAAAAGTCTGTTCTGTAGTTAAGATAAAAGGGTAAATAATTGGATACCCACCGTAAACTGTAAGCGACTGCGCATAAATCCCAATATGCGCATCTCGATGCCCACAATGCAGTCCTCCTCAACGAAGGGCGCTGCAATGGAGGCGCACACGTAGAAAGTGCAGTTTCTCGGGCTAAAGCCGCTGATGTAGTCCGACATGGCGACATGGACAGCATGTGGTGTGGGATAAAGCTGACCATCGTAGCACTGGCCCACGCTCTGAACGCTGAGCACGCGACAGTCAACATTGCTGTAGTAGTCGTTGACCAGCAGGTTGTAGTCTGTGGAAGAGTTGGCAAAGATGAGCGCCACACGATGCACGTAGAAGTTGCTCATGAGATCGCTGAAGATCTTCGATGCGACTGTCCAGGGCCTGTCACGCATCTGGGCATTGTGGAAGAGCACCAGAAAGCGGGCGCCCGGATTCCAGGAGCGACTCTGGCTAACATAGCGTGCCATGAGCTTGTGCAGACTCTCTACGCTGTCCACGACAATCACATAGTTATCCGCCAGCAGCAGCTCTCCAAAGACCTTCGACCTGTTCTGATGATCCGAGATGACGCGCAGCTGAAATAACTCGCGGTCCGATGGCATCTTCGGATCGCTGATAGCCTCATTGATGCGCTTACTGAAGCCCTGCTGTATCAGAGCGGCGGGCAGTGACATGTTAAAGACATTGGTCAGCATCAGATTGTAGGAGCGCGTGAAACGCTCCAACGGATTGCGATAGAAGAAGATCTGCGCAAAGCTGTCCAGACAGTCGACGCCCACCTGCCAAGTGTGCGGGCCCACATCCTTTGCGGGCAGCATATAGATAACCATATTGGCTGACTCATTCGACGGATTTACTATGCCCAAACCACCAACTGGCAGCCGCAGCAGCAGCAGCAGCAGCGGCATTCGCTTTTCCAATTCCAGTAAATTTGGCCACATTTTCCGTGCACGTTTGACTGAACAATGGTCAAGCAACTGAGCCAACTCCTCGCATGGCGGCTTGTTTGTTGTGGGCTGTCGGCCAAACGGCCGACCAGCGGCTCTTTCTGCGTTCTTGTGCACCCTACAATGCCACGGCATTTCGACAGCTTTCATGCTCTGGCCACCTGTGCAAGATATTTGTATGGGAGAACAAGAAAAGCCGAAATGTGTGCGCTTATCCACTTAAAGCCTACGTACTCTTCGTTTCGCCGTTTTGCTTGGCGATATTCGTTTGATGTTCTATTTCTTAAAGTTTAAATAACTTAAAAGAAACTAAACTTTTTTTTGAATTTTACAATATTACGTCTTCTCAGGAGCTCGAACCGTAAACTTCATGTTCAGTGCTATGGAACATTTTTATTTTAATATTAACTACATTTGTAAAAACAAACTTTTGGATTCTGTGTAAAATATTTTATTTTGTTAAAATGATAAACAGAATATTAACTGTGGAGCAATATAAATAAAACTTGCTTATTTATTAAGGATTAAGGATTTTTTTAAATACAATAGAAACAAAATATTGATTTGGGAGTACTTATTATAATTTGCACAACTTATGGAAAATTGAAGAAAGAAACTTTTGAATCCTTTCTAAAATATTTTTTTTATAAAAGAGTAGCCGTGATAAATTTATACAAAAATAAAATATACCTTTGTTAAATAGCTTTTTTTTTACAAAAATATAAACAGAATATTAATTGTGAAATTATATTTAAAAATGGATTATTTTTATTATTTTTCAACTTATAGAAGAATTACATAAAAAACATTTGGAAACTTAGTAAAATAATTTTTGAGCTATTATTTGTAAATAATTGTATATATAGAAAAGTTATTCATCCTATTATTAAATATATAATACTTTTAAAAGGTATTTTTAAATATTAACTAAAAATTGATTTAGTAAAATGTGATAGAGCAAAGATTAAGTTAATAAATAATTGAGGAATTATATTTTGATTAAAAATTCTTTAAAAATTTTATAGTCCACAAAAATGAAAAGAAAACAGCCTCAATTATAAGTCCGATCGGAAACTAGGAAAGATAATAAACTTATTTTTGCATAAATATGTTATACATTATACAACTGGACTTGACTGTAACAAAAACAAACTTATGTATGAAAAGATTTTCAATGTGCAAACTGCAAATTTTAATTGAAAAATGTGATTAATTTAATTTAAGTAGACATTTCGAGTAGTGCATTCACAAGTCGAGCATACGTCAGAAGGTTCATATTTCGCACATGATGTTTGCCTTTATATAATTGACTGCTGTCATCGGCTGGCAGCAACAAAAACAACAACAACAATAATAATTGTAATAACAACAACACAAAAAGCTTGCAACTGAAACTGCAACATGCGAGGCTTAAATTAAAGCAAATATTTGTGCAGTCGCTGCGGCGCCATCTGAAAATGGCCGCCAACAATGGAGTGCATTAAAACACTCCATCAAACAGTTGGAAGCCTTTTGGCGTTGCGGCCAAATAGACATAAATATGTAGCTTCTGCGGGGGTGTCACAGGGTGGCTAAAAGGGGGGGGGGGGAGGGAGCTGTGTATGTGTGTGTATTGGCAAATGGCGTTGGCCGGAAGTAGCCGGTCATAAAACTTGAGATGACCGGCCATAAGCCAAGTCAATGAGTCACTTTACTGCAATGGCGCTGCCGGCGCATCCTGTTGCCAGCACACACACACACACACATACATTTGGGTGTGTGCCTGTGTGGGTGTGTACTAACTGTGGCACATTTGTCTTGGCCTTTTGTCATTAGAAAAATTGCTCATAAATTTCGCATTTAATTACAAAACAAAACTTTTTGGCTCGCCCCTTGGCCACTGTGGAAATATATAAAAACCAGTTCTGCTCTTGGACTCAATCTTCAACTGCAACATTGTTGCAGCGCCAGCTGCCAAAGGCGCTGACTCACTCGTTGCGCCCGCTGCCCTCTAGCCCATCATCTAGCTCGCTCGCTTGGACAAAGGCGAAACAAATTGCGTGTGATAATTTAGTGTCATGATTTTTGACAAAGGGCGTCAACAGCTCACTTACTCCGCCCCAACTCTGACCCCCGCACCGCACCAGTCCACTTTACTCTGCCGTTTTGTCTCCCTTTTCAGATTTGTGCTGAAATTAAACAACTCAACGCCGTTGATGATTCTGTTCTCAATGCCCGTGGCACGTAAGATTTACTACAATCAGACAGGTAAGTTGCTCCAGCCGCCCAGTTGCCGCCCCTCTGCTACATGCCGCTCATTCCCCTTGTCATTGCCATCCACAGCGAACCTGCTGCGTTTGCCCGCGCAGGCAAAGGGCCCCGCCTCGGACAGACTGGTCCTGCCCTGCGCCCTGCGCGGCCAATACGATCTGTTTGTGCGGGCACGTCAAGGCGGCGCACTCAAACTGGAGGCACAGGCCAAGCATCCGGATCAGTCATGGCCCCTGCTCAATCACACACATCGCATCGCTATCCGAACCCAGAATCGTGTGCGCAAGCGTCAGCTGATTGTCAAATGGGAGCGTAGGTGAGTCAATTCGCTGTAGGATATAGTAAGTGCCTTAAGGAGTTCTGAAAGCAAAGATTTAATTTGGGGAAGAGAAAGTTCTTTGAAAAGATAACATGGTGCATGCTTTCTATGTATGAGTATAGGTAGAAATAAGGGCCTATAACTCCTGCTAAGTCTTAAAAAGGAGTTAAAAAAAAACCGTAAAGCAAAGAAGAATCAATGTCGGCGACAATCAACTTATGCAGGAAGACAGCGGCGAGCATTGCCGCCAACTCAACTATTGCGGTATAATATTGCAAATTTGGTTAGACAAGGAATAAACAAGAGTTCCAGTTGTACTTAAGGAAAGATTTTTAACACGAACTTTTCAAAGTTCGCTGTTAGTTTTTATATAGCTGTAGAGATATAATGTAAATTTCTGCATACAACTGTTTTTTTAGCTGGAAACTTTATTAACCTCGACAGCACTTCATTAATAGTTATATTTATATAATTATTCTTTAACTAACCCAAACTCACAGCAAACTTGATTACCATGCCATGCACTATTGCCTGGTGATCCAACGTGTCGTGGACTTCTCTTCGTCCAGCTCGGGCGGCGGTTTCGACAGCTTTTGTGAGGCCGTCTACGCGTACGGGCGGCAGCAGCAGGCGCATTCGCGTGCCGCTGCCGGTCCCTGCTCGGGCGCCGGCAATATATTGGATCTCGTGTGGTCACGCCCGCCAATGCGAGCGCGTCACCTCAATCCACGGCACAATCTGCACATCGTGTGCACCGGCGCTCGGACAAAGCAGCTGCTGCGCGGGCTACAGCCCAACAGCAACTATCGACTGCAGCTGTTCGGTGTGCATCAGCGTCGACAGAATCTGACGCTGCCGCTGGCCAGCAGCCAGGTGCATTTCAATCGCACGCATCCGACGTCGCTGCGGGAGCAGGCGCTGTCGCTGCTCAAGATTGGCGGCCTGCATGGCGTCCAGGTGTACAGCTTCAAGGTGCCCGCGACTACGCCCCCGCCACGTTTCATGCGATACCTGCTGCTGCCCTGTGCCGGCAGCGAGATACGCGTCGAGCTGCTGCGTCAGCATCGCGTGGTGGGCAGCGTGCGCAACATCTACTTGCCCACCTACAGAAAGCTGGAAGGCGTCCTGCCCGGCGAGCGTTATTTGATGCGCTTTGAGCCCAGCAACGAGGATGAAGCGTTGCGGGCACAAAAAGTGCGCGTAAGTTGTCAATTTCACTCTCCCCTCAACCTCTCGACCAATTGCTGAGTACTGAGACATCTTTCCATCTTCCTTTGCAGCTGGCTCTGAGCAGCGAACGCCTGTTCCGCGATCTGCCGGAACTGCCCGACAACATAACCGTCTTCGATGTGAGCACGCGCTGCACCAGCACAACCATCGCATGGCACGGCTCACCCGATGAGCGCGCCTTAAGGTATGTGAACTTGCAGTATACCAAATTGAGATATCTGTGAGCATGAGCAACGAGCTTGCGAGTTCAAATCCACGGAAAATTATGGATTTAGTGTTACCCTACTTAAAATATAATATTGTTATTAATATTTTATTAAATAATCCATATATTTGTTCTTTATCCCAACAGCTACTGCGTTATTGTCTTTAATCTACCGCAACGCAGTTCTGCGGATTACACAAACTATTGCATGGACTTTGGGGCGTCGCGGATAACGGAGCACAAGAACTTCAAGTATATACGCTGCCGCGAGAAACAGCCCAGGTGAGTAAAGTTGCTAATACCGGAACACTCTGACATATACCAATTAAATCTCAATGCTGCAGCAACGTGGACAAGCTGGAGACGGAAACTATACTGAGCTTGTCGCCAGGCGATAGCTACTTGATTTACGTGACCGCCAACCTGAGCATGGGCAAGCCGCTGCCCTACCAGACGCTGACGGTGCACATGGGCAGTCAGTGCGTGGATCTGGAGTCGCAGGAGCAGCCCGAATACTACTAGGCGTATGCGCAATGCAGTTGTCGAAGCAGAAGAGAAAAAACTCAAAAACAAATAAAAATTATCCGTCGTTGTAAAGCTACCTAATCCACTAAACTAAACTAAATTAAACTATGCAATACCATACTATACTATATCTATGCGGGTTTTTGCGCTAAGCATAAAAGACTATATATATTTAGATCTATATATGGCAAACATAGCTATGTTCACGTGGTGTGTGTGTGCGTGTGTGTTGAGTGTGTGTGTGTGTGAATTTTTAAGTTTGTCAACAAATTCCAAGTATTTTGAGCTCTTATATTTCTTGATCGTAACCTAGCTTTAAATGTTTTTGTATAATTGTTTACGATTTTGTGTGTGTTCATTGTTTAAAATCTCGAATCGGTTTATAGTTTAGTTAATATATATCTATATATTCATGTAAGTTTATTTTATCGCTAGGCTTTTGCTGTTAAGTTTACCAATAATTTTTTATACACAAAAATCTTAGTTTAGCTAAGCTTAACTATGTATACAGAATATATATACATACATACATATATATATTTACATATATTTAATAGCTATAAATGTGCGCTAGTGTGGGCGTTCCAAGCGTTGTATTTTTTGAGGCGACTTAAGCAAAAAACACTGCAAAAATCGATTAAATATAACCATAAATAAATAAATAATGTGGACAATAAAATGTACTAAGCATTAATAAAGTTGGCCAATGCATATTCAAAATATTTGCCAATAAACATGTACGAATAAATAAATCAATGCAAATAAAAACAATTCAGAGTGCTCTACTTGGGAGTGCACGACAAACTAAGTTTACAAACTAAGTTTGTTGCATTTAGCTCATATAATGTTCAAGTCATGCTTAAAAAACCAGCATTAGCATCAATGTTTATCAATATTGTGGAAATGTGGAGCTATTGAAACATTAAATCAAAAATTGCATTGGCTATGTGCCGGTTCCCTGGTCACAATACGCGATTTATAGCCAGGTTTTGATTAAATGCTGCAGCTTGCAATGAATGCTTTTAGCTAAGTTTTGTTTTTGTTTGGCTAACAACAAAAAAATACAATACGTGTACGGTAGCATGACCGGGTGCCTACTTGCGGGTTGAATTTTTCGAAACCCCGTCTGAAGGTGCACCTTCATCACATAAGGTAACTACAGTAAAAATTTCAGAGTTATTTTTCAGGATTTCAGATTTTTGCGCTGAAAATGTACATTTTATGAACATTTTCATTTTGGCAATAAAAAGATATGTATATATTTGTATTAACATACATGAGCTGATTGATTGATTGTGTGACTGTAAGGTGATTAATGCCCTCAGCTAAAAGGGTCTCGGAAGCTGACATATTCACTGAAGCTTCCTTTTGGAAATTAATGCATTATAGCTGGGATTCGATAAGTTTGTCCCCGACACCAGCGTCGAGCTGTCATTACAAACAGTCAAACCTTCTTCTATCAAGAGCTGATTGGAAACTATCCTGATCTGCGCTTAAGCCAAGTTTTTAACTAGTTAATAAGTAAATGGATTAATTTAGCCTTACCAAAGAAACTAAATTAAAAATAAATTCCTCTACTATGCGGCAAATCGACCCCACCACTAAATCAATCTATTGGCAAACTCTGTCTTATTTAGCCTGTTAAATTATACATTTCCGCAAAATCTGTATACTAAATGAATATATTATAAGTTCAGATTCTCATAAAGCACATAGCTAGTTAGTTAAGTCTCTCGCCTGAAAGGACCCCAAGAACATTTTAATTGCAGCTGGAACTGATAAGATGGTTCATCGCAGCATCACCGACCTTGGCTCTCAGCCTGAATACAATTCCATAGAATAGACACAAGTCGCGGCAGAAACAAACAATATTTAACAATATTTTTAATTGCATTTTGAATTTCTGAGACGACGGTCAGCTCATTCTTTGCGATTTTCAGTCGAATTCAAAATGTAGTAGGATAAAATTATTTTCCTGCAGTTCCTGCTTAAGGATTTTACCTATACTTTAGGCAAGGGCTGAGTGAATATATATATTTAAGGTGTATATTAGATAATCAACATAATTGAATATTTAAAAATAAAAAAAGAGCAATGCGATCGGAAGGCCTCCCTTCTAGATTATATACATATATGGCTTGATCTGCTATAAATGTTAATCTGAACGAGAGTAATTTTGTATTAAGAAGTGTTTCGAAACATGGATTAATTCAAATATCTCTTAGAAAAGGGGACTGCACTTTAAAATCGAAGTACTATTTTATTATTTTCTGGTATGTATCATACACATTCTCGAAGTGTGTCTCAAAATCATTCTGATTTTATAGATTAAACAGGCAGTTTGCGGAGATGAAGCACATTCAAAATAGCTTTTATACTATCAAGAGATTTGAGTCGAGCATGAGTTGGTTGTTTTAATCATAAAAACACCCAAAGAACAACTTGACTTAAACCTCTTACATAATACTCTCTCGAACTATTTTCAAGTATTGATAATTGTGGACTCTCGGTTTTGAAGAGTCTTACATGTCGGATATTTCAAGCTTAGCAGAGCTTTTGCATAAATATATTCATTCATTCAATACGAAGCGCAATGTGTTTTCGTTAATTATTATATTTCTTCGTAGCATATTTATGATAAATTCCTTACCTTTGCATGTATTTTTTTTTGGGCTCTGTAAAAAGGGTTGTATTTCGTTTGAATTATACTGTTTTTTCTTAAATTAGTCACCAAAGTTGCTAGAACAAGGTGTAAAAGTTTTCCAATAAGAGAAACGCAAATATATTGATCCTTTTTCATATAGCTGTACACAAGCTAAACTTTTTAATGTGAATTTGTATAAAAAGCCATTTAAATTAAATTAAAACAAAGTTAAATGAAGTTTGTATTCACTTTCAATCATTTAACTATTATATAAATCTCTCTGTTTATAAATCAATAAATATACTAATTGCAAACAAAAAAGTATCAATGTACTTTTATCAATATTTTTTTTAGATATAAGTTTTTGATGCATAATTGCGTGCGTCAATTATATAAGAGGCATATTATGTAGAATTTAATTCATTTTTTCCAAATGATTAACTCAACAAATCATTATTAACTACGATGTTTTATGCTGCCAGTCTCTCTCTTTATATAATGCCTATTACAGCATTGCCTCGCCGTTTTTTCTGTAGTAGCGATTTTCCAATGGATCTGCCATGGTGGCTTAGCATTTTTAACCTGTTCGTGTTTCCGTTCATCTCAACCCATGGATACTCTCGTTTGACGGACATGAAATGTAAGGTATTAAATCGGACTAAATTTGATATCTCGCACTGTTCCCTAACGAATCTGGGCCATGGTAATGTTAGTGCCAATGTGCATTTGAATGTCCATCAGCCACCAGATAAGAACTGGATGGTTAGCTATGGCATCTGGAGAGATCAAGGCGGTTATAAGCCATTTTTCCATAATATTTCACTGGACTTTTGCCGCTTCTTGCAGAATCCGAGTCGGTTACAGCTTTACTACTCATTTCATAAGGCAATTCTGCCCTTTTCCAACTTGAATCACTCCTGCCCCTACACTGTGAGTACCTCCAAATAGCAATACAATCAGATCGTGGACTATGTTTTTGCTTACAATACCCTCTCGTTTAGCACGATATCATTGTGAAGGATTTATTGTTGGAGGACAAGATGTTTTCAGTTATACCGATACCCAAAGGTAGCTATATGTTTAACCTGAGGTTGGGCAGCAATTCCGTCTGGGCGCTTGATCTACGATTTTACGTTGATCTCGATGTAAGAAAATCACTTCGGAAGAGGAAGCCGGATTGATTATTGTAAACAATAATTATGACGATGGAAAATATAAATTAATGTACTTCATAAATGGGAAGAATTCCCCTTTTTTATTAAATTTTTTTATTTTTAGGCACATCATGTCGTTCCGTTTGCGGTGCGATTATTACAAATTTCGTTGCATACTTTCAGGCTGCCCCGATGACATTTATATGGCATCGTCAGCGCTGATCATTGCCAATAGTCGTGCTTCGGTTGTCGATTATCTTTAAACAAATTTATCAGTGCAACAAACTTTGCATCTTCGTCTGCTCTATATATAAATCAGATTTTGTCAAATATGTTTCTCTGAAGGTTTAAGTTTTTAGCTGCTCTCCTAGCTTCATCGAAATAATGATTTTTATTTTCGATTTCGATGCCATGCAATTTGCATGGCTGATTGGGCTTGCCAATTTTGAAAGATGCAATATGTAGTATTAACAATTTTCGTTTCCAAATGATTAACTCATAAAATGTTTAATAATTACAATCGATTTTGCTGCACGTCTATATAGAAACCCTAGTAAGCCATTGTGGTTTTACATTTAGTATCGATTCGCCAGTGGAACTAATATGCGGTTGATAATTTGTTACCTGCTAGTATTCCCGATAATATTATCCTATGGATATACGCGTTTAAAGAACATAAAATGTCAGGCATTAAATCGGACTATACTTGCTGTTTCAGCCTGTTACCTGAAAGATCTGGGACACGGAATTGTTGGGGCCAATGTGCATTTAATTGTTCACAAGCCACCAGCTAAGGAATGGGCCATCAACTATAGCGTCTGGAGAGACCAAGGCGGGTATAAGCCATTTTTCTATAATGTTTCACTGGACTTTTGCAACTTTTTGAAGAATCCGAGTCGGCTGCAACTTTTCTATCTCTTTCATCAGGCAATTCTGCCCTATTCCAATTTGAATCACAGCTGCCCGTACACTGTAAGTACCTCAACAGATGAATCCAATCAGATTAGTCTACTATAGATATAAATATAAATATAAATATATATATATATACATTTTAGCACGATATCATTGTAAAGGATTTTGTGCTGGAAGACAAAATGTTTTTAGGTATACCCATACCAAAAGGTAGCTATATGTATTATCTAAGAATAGCTGGCAATTCCGTTTGGGCGACTGAATTCCGAATTTACATGGACATCGATTTAGGAAAATCCCTACGCAAGAGGAAGGAAGGAGGGAGGAGGATCTGACTGATTATAATTTATTATGTATATATTAAAAATATATTGTTTTTCACTTTAGATGGAAAGTTTCCTTAATACATTTGAATTTTGAATTGGAAAATTTGTTCCTTTTATTCTGGGTAAATAAAACTAATAATAAAGGGAACTTATAAAACATTTTTTAAATATGGCAATGAACTATTGTATATATCAAATGTTTTTTGTTCGGATATTATAAATAATCTTATAAGTAATAGCCGAATGCTAAAATGGATTGCTTAGTCTATATTAATTATTAATAATAAATATAAAAACACTCGAATATGTCTTATCAAACATTATACGTTTGTTCAAACGGTGAAGTTACTCAGTCGATGACTAGTTATTAAGGCTAATAGCTAATTATTTCGTTAAGTAATGTTACTCCAGACCTATGTGATTTAGCTCTGCGGCATCTAAATGTTAATTATTTATGGTGCGCACCAACCCAATGATCCACAGCTTATACAAAATCTATTATGAGGTATTTATATGTGTACATTTTCTAGCCACATTTATCTGACAGATGACGCGCTTCCAGTGCGCTGCGAACCGTGGTCAATCGCCCGACGGCGCATCGCGTGTGGGTTCAACCGATAGCAATCAAATGCGCAGCTAAGCGATTGATAAGGCCCGGCGATATCTGGCGATAATCATTAGCTACACGTTAAAAGTACATCGGTAGCAGCTGACAGGCGGCAGGTGGCACAAACGAGTATTCAATTTTCCTTCAGTCACATCAAAGTCGCTCAGCTCTTCGCACAAGCAATTCGAAATATTGTTGCATACTTTTGGGGCGCGCGTTTAAATGGCATTGCGAGCGCTGATCATCGACACAGACGATTTATATCCGATTGTGATCGCAAGTGATCTGTGCCAAATACATGACACACCACGTTACATATTCATGGCGCTGGTCACGGTGCTCTTCCTGTGCACCTTTGTGGGCAACGTGAGCGCCCTGTATGTGAACATCAGACGCAAGCTGCGGCCTTTTTTTCGTGCCTGCCTCATCTCGCTGGCCTGCAGCGATCTGATCTACTGTGTCAACTTTACCACCTCCAACATTGCCATGTTCAATGCGGAATATCTGGAGTATTGGGTGGGCTACGTGCTTATTGTGTGGAGCTTAATGTTAACTGTGTGCTCTTTCAGATTCTTGGCCCGTTCATGTGCAATTGTGTGCCGTTTGTCAACACAACAACTGTACTGTGCAGCAGTTTTATGCTGGTGGCCATTGCCCTGGATCGTTATATGGCCATAAGACGTGCTGCGATTGGCATTTGGAATCCAGGCTTAGTTTTCTGCGCCGTCTGCATCGCTGGCATTTGGCTAGCCTGCATGGCCGCCGCGGTGCCTCTCTTCTTCATCTATACCCCGATCCAGGTCTATATACAGAGCACGGATGAGCTGCTAATTAGCGAACTGGACCAGGCTACTATGTGCGTGGGCAGAAGGGTGAGTTGCAACTGCTTAACAGCAACGAATAGGACTAGTATGCAGCTCGATCACAAATATGTAAGTCCTGTTTAAAAGCTTGCCAAGCTGAGATACTTGTAAGACTTGCAGTTTTCTAATGCTCTTTCATTTTGAGGTGCTTAAAAATGGTAGATCAAACTATTTTAACACTGCGAGCTGTAAGCTATAAGGTCAGGTACTCGGAATTGTTCGGGGCAATCACAGTTTGACAATCATAGTTGGCATATAGAGTATAGAGAAAGGAAAACATCATTCGGCATTGACATTCTCGAACGAATACTTTCCTCTTAGTAAAGTGGAAATAACTAAAAACTTTAAAACTATTTTAAAGTGAGTTTAAATCCAAACTAAATAGCACAAAAACCTGCAACACTGCATTTTACAAGTTTTCAAGAGATTATCAGTCAGACAGTCTGTCATTCAGTCAATCAATTTTATATATAGCCACAAGAGCTCTATTTAACGGACGAGCACTCGAAATAGCTAATTAATTTCAGGAATTCCATAAGCCCATTCACACATATCCGTTATCTTGAGCTGCGTACTAGCCCTTACATGCTGTTGACATGTGTTTACTATCTTATCGGGCAAACAATTTGCATTTCTGTTCATGTGTTTGCACAGACCCAAATTGGAATCTATAATAGTGTATCGCTCAGTCTTGTCTTTGTGCCCTGCATTGTGGCGTTCGTTTTTCTCAATGCGACCATTGCGCGGCAGCTGTGGCAGCGACGTCACCAGCAGCGCAACCTGCAGCAGCAGCAGAAGGAGCAGGAGCAGCAGCAGGAGCAGCCGCGATTTGTGCACCTGCTGAGCAAGCCGGAGACCACCTATGCCATGATGACTGCCTTCAGTGTGGCTGCCTCCTTTGACATGAGCACTGCGCAGTTGACGGGGCTGCCGCCGCCGCTGCCGCCGCCGCCGCTGCCAGAGAAGCTGAGTCCCGCGGCAGCGGCACGTGTGGCACGCCATCGCCGCATGGTGCGCGTGGTGCTGCTGATGATGGGCGCGTTTATATGCCTGCGTCTGCCCGCCTGGACCTTTCTGCTGATGCGAGTGTATGGCTCCTTCTCCTCGCCTGTGTCCTGGCTGTTCTACTTTAGCTTTGGCCTGCTCAACTTGACCAGTTGTGCACTGAATCCGCTGTTCTACACCTTTCTGCCGCAGACCATGCGAGTGCTGTCCAAGCTCAAGCGTGCGCTAAGCCGGCTGCTCTGCTGTCGGCGGGCATCCAAGTTGGAGTCGGACGCGACTATGCCCCAGGAAACTGCCGAGCGAGCCAGGCGCTGTCTCTGCTGTGGCCTGCAGGTCACCTGGCGCTGCCATCTGAAGTCCCCACCGGCAGCAGCCGGAAGCATCGCAACCCAGACTGTGCCAGTTATCGAAGCGCCCTCCGCTGCCAGCAGCCTGCCACCGGTTGGTGACTGTAAGGACGACTACAAGGACCTCGTCATCTACAATGAGAACTCGCTGCAGACAACTGCTTCAATGAAATCCTACCGCTGAAAGTGCGTCATAATTCATTCATCGCCTGATTGCAATCATGGAATTTTTTTTTATTTTTGTTGACTGCGCTGATCAGTGTCACAGTTCACGCGATTACTGATAGGCTTCAACCTGAATTTGTCTTTGACTTTTACATATAGATATATATTTTATATATAGATTGCAAATAAAGCTACAGTAAAAACACAGACTATTATTTACGTACATTATATATGCACACATATTATGATCATTATCATCGAGTTCTTAGACTCTGGCAATACTTTTCTTGTGTGAAATATAACCTTGAAGTGTACATATGTGGTGAATGAGTCATGGAATACATTTTATATCTGCCAGCTCAGTATTCATACTATACACATACACAATACTCTTTATCTGATATTCCTCAGAATTGCATGGATTAACATTTATTTGGTACAAATTGCATAAATTAACTTTTTATCTACAAGCCTTTTTCATTTGTAATTGCTTCATTATCAAAAAAACTAATTTTTTTTTTTATATTTCATTTTTTTAAATAAAATATAAAAGATACTCAACTATACTGTATCTGGAACTCTAAAACATTACAAAAGATGAAGAATTATATGTTAAGAGATTGCTCAGATTATATTTCCAGAATTGCTTAGTTTTGTTTTTAATAAGAAATTAGAGCAATTTTTTATTTTGTAATGCATTGCTAAGCACTTGTTTATTATACGTCAATAACAATATAATTAATTAAATGTCATGCATATACACATGTATTTAACATTTAAACCATTTCCGTTCTTGAACAATAGCTCTGGACTTGTTTCAAGATAAGCATCACTCTAATTAATGTCAAAAATTGCTGAAGCGAGCAGAAGCTGCGGAACGATTTATCACGCTCCTATTGTGAATTTAATTCAATGAGCGTAACGAAAGCTTATGCTCACACCTTACTCTCTCACTCTCTTTTACACTCACTGTGAACAGCTGTTTGGCGCTCGCAAGCTTGACTCAAAAGCTTCGTCAGTTTTGCTGCTGTTGCTCAGTTGTTGACGGCGTTTCGTGCTGAGCAGTTGGCTTGAAGTTTTGGCTGGTGGAGACGGCGCGAGGTAAAGACCGTATACCGATAAAAGGCAGCCAATCGGGTGAAATCTACGACAACAACAACAACAACAACATCAACGGGTCGTGTCTTTTTTAATCAATGTTCGCCGTTCGGCATTTCAACGCATGCCAAAAGTGTACGAAAATTAGTGAGAAAATTGTAAAATAAATAATACCAAGTCAAACAAAACGAAATGTAAATAAATGAGGCCAAGCGATAAAAGAGAGTCGCGAATTATGGCACACACCCGCTTATAAATAGCCAAGCGGCCACAAAGGAAACGAAAAGTAACAAAACAAAATCAAAGCAACAAGAACAAAGCGCTGCAAAAGAACGAAAGTACACAGTGTTGAAATCCAACCAAAATAAAATTCAATTTGTGACAGGTAAAAGCAACAATTAAATTAAACTTAACTGAACCATTTCTGTAAGCATAAGCCTTAACCCAGTCAAAACACAAACCAGTTGCGTTTGTTACACATTTCGTCAGTGTTGGAAAAAAACGACATGATCAAAAAAAAAAAAACATGTTCGCGCATTTCACTTGACCAATACCCGTTGTCGCAGCCGCACGCATGCGCAACTGTCGGACCGTAGCTTGGCAGCTTTGGCTTGCAAAATCTGAATTACGGTATGCCGACGCCGACGCTGACGTCGACGTCGCCGTTGATGACGATGTCAAAGCTGTCAATGCAGCTGTTTCACTTTTCTTCTTTAGCTGTCAAACAACCGTATTGTTTGGGCCTGGCATTCTAAAGCTTCCTCGCGCCCTCTCTCTCGCACCCGCTGTCTGCGCTGCGCACTCTTTCAGCCAATTGCCGTTTGTCATGCAGCGCGCGCCATACGCAAGACTTCTTTGGGCCTGGTTACGCAGCGCTTTCATTTGTTTTAGCCGCCTTTGGCATTTCGGCCAGTCTTCTTTTTTCTGTCTTCGGTTTTCCGTTTCTGTTTCTGTTTCTATATCAATCGTGAGTTACATACAACTCATTCGGTAGCCGCATACTTAATTAGCTAATGCTTACTAAAATGAAATATATATGCATGTATATTTGGCTTAAATATAGGCCGTCAGCCAGGGCCAAGTTAAAGTTTCACACACTATATATACATCTGCTGAGAATATAGTAGAATCCACAACTGACAAAGCATGCAAATATATGGTCACACTGTAGACTGTGCTTTGTACGTGACTGCAATTTGTTTAATTTGAAATAATGTGCGGTATGTCGACTATTGTGATTCCGCATAAGTAATTCTCTTAAAAAGAAACTTTAATCTTTAATCATTTAACCTCATTATGCGATACATTTACATGTCGTTGTTTATTACTAACGCATTAGCTCGAAGAAATTGAATACTTTTTTATAAGCTTCCTGGATTCAAAGGTGCCCAAGTTAGCAATATAATAAAAAAATAATAGTTAAGATATAAATTAATAATTAATAATTAATAAATAAATAAATCAGTAAAAAGAATATATTAAAAAGAAATAATTTATGTATTATCTTTTATTTTATCTATTTTGTTTGTCAAGGCTCAAAACTTACAAAAATTTACAAGATTTGCATTAAATTGTTTTGTTTAAAAATTGATTATGCTCTTAATCATTTATAAATGTTTTGTTGTTGGGTCAATTTAGTTCTCTCTTCATAGAGTTAAAGTTAAAAATAAAAAGGCGGGACAGATATATCGAACCAGTGTCAGTTTCATCCAATATTATTTTCTTATTAAATTTTCTTCAAAGCAATTAATGCGAAATCTTAAACATCTTTGCCTGGAGTATAATTATTAACTTTAAGCTTATCAATAATAATATTTTGACAGCGAGTTTCGTATGACAGCAGATACCTTTCTTTATAAATGGAAAACTTTATTATGTGTTATGCATTTCCACACCGTGAAAATCACTTTCATTTTCTCTGGCTCTTAATAATTATAAAACATGAAAATTTTGTGACAAGCAGCGTGACGACTGCACCGTTATTTAATAGTAACAACAACAACAACAACAACAACAACAACAACAACAACAACAACAACAACAACAACAACAACAACAACAAATTCCAGCTGCATAATAGTTGGACCAGTCAGCGACTGGAACTGGGCTGTGTTTGGTATTTAGCACATTTCTCCAAAATATATTAAATAAAATTAAAAAAAAAATATAATTTCTAAAGAAAGTGAAAGTTTTTTTGTGTATTTTTTTTTTTGGGCGCGCACAAACTGTTCGATTGCGTTGCGGCCTCTATTGTTGTTGTTGCTGTTGCTGTTGCCGTTGCTGTGGGCAAATGGTTTTTTTGAATAATTACCTGGCCCCAGGGCGCGTGCATTGAATAAACAATGAAAAGGTTAAAAGGGAGCTATGGAGAGGGGGGGGGGGGGGGGGGGGGGGAATGGGGCAGCAAGCTGCACATATGTCAAATATGTTTTTGGTCGCGGAGCTTTATTTGGCTTGACCTCAAAAACCCAACACTCAGCTTAACGCCCTAACCTTGCCCAAAAACGTCACATCAAACTAGTTTGGTTTTGATTTTTGTTGTTGGAGGGGGGGAGAGGGTGGTAAACGGGGTATGTTTTTCCCAGCGCCCATTGAACTCGGCTTTGTGTTTGCGTTTGTTTTGCCTCAGACACTTTCGATTTTCGCACAAAACGAAATCACAAATCTGAAAAGCATGAAAACACACTTTACAATAAAAGTCGCCGCATTTTTATTTTTTCTTTCCTTTTTTGTTTTTGCGAACCCTACTATTTATTTCTTATTACACGCCATCCCATTGACGATTTCTCTCCGCGTCTTGGAGTCTTCGCGTAGGGGCCAATGCACTAGCAGCCCATGCGCCGCACCTCTCTCTCTCTCTGTCCCTCTCTTGGCCCACACACCGTACTCCCGGACAGCTGCCCCCACTACCCTGCTACCCCTTGGAGGGAGGACGTCTGGTCTTCTGTTTGGCCGGCATGCCAATTGCCAATTACCATGCGAGTGCGCAAATGTGCTGCGCGGCATTGAGACGCGCCGACAAGTCGACACCCGTCGCTGGCACCCCGTGACCCCTCTGTGAAGCCCCTGCCCCCAACCGTGCAGTGCCAGCAGCGAGTCGGTGACTACATTGAAATTATGCATAATGGGCTCGCACAATAAACACTCAAATGGTCTTAAGGTTATACGACAGATGCCACAAAAAAAAAAAAATGAAAAAAAAGAAGCAAACAAATCAATTTCTATAGCGTCTATTCGTAGTTTTTTTATCGTGGGTGTCATGTGATACTCACACGAGATATTATGAAAGTCAGTCTGGAAAAATCTTGGACAAATACAGAAAATTAATTTTATGATATTTTATACATATATCATAATAAAACGTATTTGTCTGCTTTTAATCAAGTTTAATCAAATAAATAGAAACAAGTATGCCAATTAAAATAATCTAATGTAGAAAAGAAATTTATATTCGTCATCAGGTGCATGAAATTCCGGAAACTACGTATAAGCAGCAAATACTTCAACATGATACTTCATTAATGATATTTTTATATATATTATTTTCTCGTCAGGCTTAATATTTTAAAATTAAATTTAATTAAATCAAGTTAGAGTGAGAGTTTTTTGAATGCAAATCGAAAATCCACAACTTACTTAAATATTCTACATCTTTAATGTTAAGAAATCTACTATTACTATCCCATTTATTCGTTCGTGAATACATGAATTTATTTCGCAACAAACTAAACATCGCACTGATTGGCACAAATTGTAAACCTTCGGCTATACGAAGTCCGAGACATTGTATTTATATGGATGAAGTGAATATACATTTGTTTATTTACAATCAATTCTCGGGTTTCGATTTTGTCATAATTTGAATGAAGTTGATTTAAAGAGTCAAAGCTAATTATGCGGAGAAGTGGAGAAATAAGTGGAGAATACAAAAGCTTGTTTAATTTGTGATTCCAATTATTAAGGAATAAGTTCTAGTTATACTTTTTGTGCATGATTGTGTTGCGCATACGCCCGGCTAGCCCGTTTGTTAGCTAAAACATTGCTAATTCCTCGCTGCTTGTTGGGGGTTGGCTTCAGCAT